TTTATTGGTTGTTGTTTTTTTGGCGGGGGGGGGGGTGTACTCAAAATCACTTAGAAATATATAGTCATTTAAACATCCAAAGGATACATTTTACAAGCATGCCTCCTGGCCACCAACACCTGGCTGCCAGCACACAGCCTTTCTGTTTCCATGAGTCTAGAGTCCTCAGACTCTGTCTCTCCATGCCCTAATCTCTGTCTCTGTAATCACTGCTTCTCTGAATAAGGTCCCACATTCCACTTGTGCTCTTCTTCCTTGATGGTCCTAAGGTTCTTTGTCCCTGGACTGTAACATAAACTGCTCCCTTCTTTTTGTTACAAAACTTCTGCCTTTACAGTTGTGACAGTTGCAATTAGTCATTATAGCAAATTACTCACCATTGAATCATACGAATCTTCATTGAATCATTTGAATCTTATTGCCATCACCTTTCACCAGAGAAAAACTTCAATTGTTTCTTCAGTTCCCGCAGCTTGAGAAATGCTTAGCTGTTCTTCCCTTTGGTTTTCTAACTCAAGGTCTTTGCACATTTCATTTTAATATTTGACCTTTGTCTTCTCGAGCTGACATTTGAGAATTTCCATTCAGCTCTTGTACCTCCTCACTTTTTCCATTTGCTTTAGTCTGTCTATGCTGGAGAGCATGTTTCAGAGTTTCATCTGATATCCATGCTGATCTTTTCCTTCTTTCTTGTCTTCAGTATTATATATGTGATGCTATATTGTAAATGTTTTCTCTTTGAGTCTGCTTTACTTCTATGTATATATCATTTCAGGTGGCTTTTAAATGTTGTTACTTTTCTTTCTGGATGACTCCTTTCAGAATTTCCAGTAGGACTAGTCTAGTGGCAACAAATGCTCTTAATTACTTCTTTATTTATATATTTAAAACATTTATTTGTGCATTTTTCTCTGGGAATGTCATAAGTTACTCTTGTTTTTGAACAATGACTTTGCTTGGTGTGTTTTATACTTGGTTTATAATTCTTTTCCTTCAGCACTCTATATTGTTCCATTTTCTTCTAGCTTTCATGATTTCAGTCGAGTAATCAGCATTTAATCTTATTGGAATTCCTTGTGTGTGACAATTCTAAAAAAATTTTTGTTGTTCTTTATTCTCAAGAGTCTAATTATGTTGTGCATCTGTGAATGTCTTTTAGGATTTATGGGGAAATTTCCATCTTTCATGATGTTTTCTGCTACTATTTGTTAAAAGATTCTTTTTGGGCCTATGCCTCTCTCTTTGTTGAAACTCCCATTATATATAATTTATTCCTCTTAAATGTGTCCCTCTTAATTGTGTCCCACCTTTCCTCTTCATGGTATTCCTCTTGTTGTTGTTGTTAGGTGCCATCGAGTCGGCACTGACTCATAACAACCTTATGCACAGCAGAATGAAACAATGTCTGATCCTGGGCCAACCTCATTATTGTTGCCACATTTGAGTCCTCCTCTTAGGCTTTGTTAATTTTTCTGCATGCTTTTTTCAGTTTGCTTTCAGAGTGAGCAATCTCAAAGACCCTATGTCCACGTTTGCTGGCCCTGTCTTCTGTCATTCCAGTTCTACTCTGTGTCTTCCATGGTTCTGTTCATTTTTGTTAATTTACTTTTAACCTCCAATTTTTGCAGTTGTTCTATTTTTATTGATTTTTTTATATTTATCTATATTTATTGATATCTCTTTACTGACATTTTTATTGTATTTTCCCCCTGATTTCCATTACATCTTTTTCTATGTTTTCCTTTAGCTCTTTGAACATTATCAGTGTGAATGCTTTGAAATATTAATTGAGTAAGTCCATTAATTGTTATTCAGGGACTATTTCTGACCCCTTGCTTTATTCATTTGTTTGCTCCATCCCTTTCTGTCTCTTCATATGTTTTATAATTGTTATATATGGGACATTAAGATTTATTTATTTGTGCCTTAGTAAATCAGGAAATTAGCTTCTTTCTCTTTTCTTTAGATAGTTCTTCTTGTTCAATGCTTTTTCCAGTGGTTCACGGGCCCTTCTCTTCTTAGCTGTACAGGACAGCTTGCTAAGGAGCTTTGGCTTGTGTTATTTCATTATCTCTGTCTTTGAGTACTTCTGATATTGAGACAGGCTATTTGTGCTTGTGATGTTTGACTTGGCTGGAGATAGCAGAGGGACTAGGATGGAGTACAACTACTGCACAGATATGTAGTAGGTCATCTTGTAAGGAGTCTAGGAGCACAGCCTATATAGCTGCACGGCTCTAGGTGTGAGACTATGTGCATGGTGTGTGTCTAGGCGTATGCCCGGTGCATGGTGTGTGTCTAGGCATATGCCAGGGGCAGGGCCTCAGATACTGTATTGGTCTGGAAGTGGGGAGCTGCAGGCACTGTTCAGGTTTGGTGGTCCCACTGTGAATTTTGCATACCCTGGGTCAGTGTGGTGATGTACTCCTGTTCATCTGACCTAACAGTTGTGAACAATTGCTTTCCTGCCACCTGGCCAGTTGACTTTCAAGTTTTTAGCAGTCATGGCTTCATGGATAAATTCAAAAGATGTCTAACTACCCTCCAAAGACAAACCATCAGTACAAATGACTTTCGGGAAATGTAGTTTTCAATTTAAAAAATTTAACAGTGAAAATAAGGTGGTAAACACCAGGAGAGAACACGTACTTAACTTAATTCTTAAAAGATGTTCATCAGAAAATATGTGTAATTTATTTAATGCGTTTTCAACATCCCCCTCCATCTTTTTTTTTTTTTTTTTTAGGATATTGAGTACATACGATCCCATTACAACATTGAAGATTTCATCTACTTCAGTCACCACCAGCGTGAGGAACATGGGCACTTGCATCACTTTGCCATGAACCCTATTTTTCGGCACTACACCAAGTTTTTTCTAAAAGAGATTCTTCGTTTAGGCTTTAAGTCTTGTCTGTACTACCCTGTTTACCCACACTGCAGGACCAGCAAGGTAAAACACTATAACTTTCAGGATCTTCCATCCACTGGTACTCACAGTGTACTAGATGGGCTGTATTTCATTCCTCCGGACTCATTGTCACATGACTCTAAATTCAAAATGGCTATGGTGAACATCCTCTACTCATCTATCAGTTTGTCATACTGTGGTGGCTTGCGTGTTGCTGTGATTCTGAAGCTCTGCCACCAATTTTAAATACTAGCAGGGTCACCCATGAGTTCTGGTGTGGTGCTGTGGGTTAATGCTCCAGACTGCAAAGCCATTTGAACTACAAAATCAGTGGTTCAAGCTTACCAGTCACTCCTTGGAAACCCTATCTATACAGGGTTGCTATGGGTCGGAACCAACTCAACAGCACTTAACAACAACAAGGATCACCTATGGTGGACAGTTTTCAACTGGGCTTCCAGTCTAAAACAGACAAGGAAGAAGGAGATACTGACCGCTTCCAAATATCTGTTGTTGTGTTGTTGAGTTGGTTCTGACTCATAGCAACTCTGTATATGGTTTCTGTGGAACTGCTGGTGGGTTTGAACCTGTAACCTTCACTTAGTAGCAGTCCAGTGCTTATACATTGGTGACACACCAAATATTTAGTCACTGAAAACCTTATGAATAGTAGTGGAATGCTGTCAGATAGCACCAGAATATTGAATATTGAAACGTGATGAATAGCAGCAGAATGCTGGATAATGAGGCCCTCAGTTTGTAAAGCACTCAAAATACAAATGGGAAAGAGCTGCCTCCTTAAAGTAGAGTTGACTATGATGATGAGAGTAGAGTAAAGCTTTAGGACCTTCATTTGCTGATGGAGCAAAGCTAAAATGAGGATAAATAGCTGTAAATATCCATTAATAATCAGAAGATGGAATGTATGAAGTATGAATCTAGGAAAACTGGAAGTTGTCACCAAAAATGAAATGGAATGCATAAACATTGATATCCTGTGCATTGTTGTTGTCGTTAAGTGCCATTATATCAATTCCAACCCATACCGACCCAGTATAGGGTTTCCAAGGAGTGAGTGGTAAGTTTGAACTGTCATCCTTGTGGTTCACACTGACCTTGCAGTTCAACTCTTATCCTACAGCACCACACCAGGACTGTTAGGTATTAGTGAGCTGAAATGGACTGGTATTGGCTGTTTTGAATCTGACAGTTACATGATTTACTATGTGGGAATGACAAATTGAAGAGGAATGGCATCACATTCATCATCAAAACCCAAAACATTTTAAGATCTGTCTTGAAGTACATCATTGTATGTGGTAGAATAATTTCCATATACCTAAAAGGAAGACCAGTTAATACAACTATTATTCAAACTTATGCACAACAAAAGCCAGTGATGATGACATTGAAGAATTCTGCCAACTTCTTATATCTGAAATTGATCAAACTTGCAATCAAGATGTACTGATAATTACTGGCAATTAGAATTACTGGCAAAGATTGGAAACATACTTCAGACATATTATCAGAGGGACAACAGCAAAATCTAGGAAGACCCCCAGCTAGATGGATTGCCACAGTGGCAGCAGCAGTGGACTCAAGCATAGCAATGATTTGAGGCTGGCACAAGACTGGGCAGTGTTTCATTCTGTTGTGTATAAGGTTGCTGTGTACTGACTTAACAACACCTAACAACAGCATATTAAATATGGTTCTTTTTTTACATTACTGTGAAACTCCAGAAGGCTTTGAATTTCTGCAAGAATTAACATAGATGTAATGAGAAGCACAATTTGCTAGCTTTTCTATATTGGCAAAACAGAGACTAGAAACTATGCAAAAGTGCTCTAAGACGCATGGAAATCAAATAGTTTTTTTCTGTTGGTGTATTACTATAATTTCAGTGCCAAAACGATCCAATCATATTCTCTCATGCAAAGAACATTTTAGTAACGAACATATCAAATAAATCAATCCTCTTGAAAAATATTGGTTTACTATCAAATATTACAAATGTGCACTAAAACTACCCCCATAAGAGTATGAAGATATATGATACCAGTAACCTTTATATAATGACTATCTGTATAACTCTGTATGTATAAGATCTGCACATACTTATTAGGAGCAAAAATTTGGGTAGGCACATACATAATGTGTCTATACTATATATATGTTGCTGTTGTTAAATGCCGTGGAATTGGTTCCAACTCATAGTGACCCAGTATATGCTTTCCAAGACTTTAAAATTTTTCATGGGAGTAGAAACCCTCATCTTTCTTCCATGAAGCAGTTAGCAGGTTCAAACCATAGACCTTTTGGTTTCACAGTGTAGTGCTTATCGTATGGAGCTACCGTGCTCCCCATTCTGTATATGTGCATGCACAAATAGCAGATTCTTCAAATTGTTTCCACATGTCTTTATTCTGCTGTTAATTACCTGAAATTATTTATTTTGCCATGAAGGCAGTGTTTCCCTTGTTCACAGCTCTAGGATAGCATCGGTCCTCTACTCTGTGCAGATTCAAGGACCAATGGGATACAACCACTAAACTAGGTTGACGATATCTCATCACATCATAAAGCTTCCTCATATTCTGTCCAGATTATTTGACTTTTGTCATATTTATTTGTAGTAGTAACTACAGTGAGCAAACTAGATTAAAAAAATAAACATAGTAAATGGAAAAGCACATAGAGCATGCGTTTAATAGTAATCTTGCTAGTGTAGCTTAACTTAACAAAAATATTTTCAAGAAATACAAGAGAGTGAAGAAGAAAGAAAGAGCCTTGGAAAAGGTTTGAATGTGATTTGGGATCTGCTATAGTGACTACTTTTTCCTGTCAAAATGTAGCATGATAACCATGTAAAAGGCTGGGACGGAAGCTGTTTTGCTAGAAAATTCCAGCCCTGCACAATTTCCCTTTCCTTTGCATTTGGGCCAACTACCAATTTTGTGGCCTTTAGGATGTGATATTAAAGTCTTAGTTTTTATTCATTATATTGCTTGGACATGCTGGTTTGGTAGAAAATACATTTGCATTCATTATGCAAATAATCTCTTAAGCATTCCAGTGACTTTTAGAAGCTCTTAGAAATGCTGGGAGCTATTTTCAGAACATTAAATAAGTAATATGTTCTTGTTGTTAGTATCCTTGAGTTGGTTCTGACTCAGCAAACCTGTATAGGGCTTCTGAGCCTGTAAATCTTGGCAGGAGCAGGAAGCCTCATCTTTCTCCCATGGAATGACTGGTGGACTAAAACCGCTGACCTTGTGGTTTGCAGTCCAGTGCTTAGTTTACAAAGCCACCCTGTTCCCCAAGTTATATTTAAATCATTATTTATTAAATGCATCTGTGGTTTAATTTTACTTTCTGTGCTTAAAGCTTAAATTCAATAAATGTACCTTTTGGACATTTATCGGATTTGGATTTTACAATTTAACTTTTAAGGTTAAGTGACCACAATACTTTTCAGTTGGTTTCATCAAAACAACTAAAATTTTGTAACTGTAATAGAAACAAAGAATATCATGTTCTGTTTTTTTTCTGCCAAGTTTTAATAATTAGCTAAATGATTATTAAAACAGAAAGCATCAAAAGAAGACAAAAAAAATACACAGAGTAACGGTACCAAAAGACATGGTTGACATTCGTCCATTTCAGAAGATAGCATGTGATCAAGCACTACTGGTATTAAAGAATGAAATCCAAGCTTCATTGAAGGCACTGGTAAAAAAAAAACAAGACTCCAGGCATTGACAAAATACTAATTAAGATGTTTCAAGAAATGGAAATGACAATGGGAGTGCTCGTTGGTCCGTGCCAAGACACTTGGAAGACAGATGACTGTATTTAATTCATATTTGTATCCATTGCAAAGAAAGGTGATCCAACTGAATGGTGGAAATTCTCAAATAATATCATTAGTATCACATGCAAGTAAAATTTTGCTGAAGACAGTTTTTAAAAAATTGTAGCAGACAGAACTGCCAGAAATCCAATCCAGATTTCAAAGAGGATGTGGAACAAGACATGTCATTTCCGATGTCAGACGGATCTTAGTTAAAAGCAGAGAGTACCAGAAAAATGTTTTCCTGCATTTTATTGACTACACAAAGGCATTTGATTGTATGAATCGTAACAAATTATGGATAACACTGTGAAGAATGGGAATTACAGCACACTGAATTGTGTTCATGCAGAACCTGTTTGCCAAAAGACAGTCATTCAAACAGAATAAAAGGGATACTGTGTGGTTTAAAATCAGGAAAGGTGTGTGTTATGGTTGGTGGCTTGTAGGATAAACAGTAGACTGCAAACCGCAATATTGGTGGTTCTAGCCCACCAGGCACTCCGCCTGAGACAGATGAGGCTTTCTATTCCCACAACAATTTACAACCTTGGAAACCCTATGTAGAGCTGCTATGAGTGAGAACCAACGCACTTAACAACAACAATAACATGCTGAGCAAATAATCTGAGAAAATGGACAATATGAAGAAGACGTGGCATCAGGATTAGAGGTGACTCATTAATAACCTGAGCTATGAAGATGACACAACCTTGCTTGCTGAACGTGAAGAGGACTTGAGGCATTTACTGGTGAAGATGAAAGCATATAACCATCAGTTTGGGTTACACATCAACATAAAAGAGCACTTCTCACCTGTTGTAATGAGCAGCAGCATGATAAATGGAGAAAAGATTAAAGTTGTCTTGATGTAGTGCAGTGGAATAATGCATTGGGCCACAAGGTCAGTTTGAACCATAAGGTCAGTGGTTCAGATTCACCAGCCACTCCTCATAAACCCTATGTTGTTTCTGAGGAACGACTGGTGAATTCGAGTCGGTTCCAACTTATAGCAACCCTGTATAGAGTTTCCAAGGAGCGGCTGGTGAGCTTGAACCACGGACCCTGTAGTTCAAACTGACCTTATAGTCCAGCGCATTAACCCACAGTGCCAAAACCGGAAACCCTATACTGGGTCAATATGAGTCAGAACCGACTCGATGACACTAACAACAAGATCAACAGTCATTGCTCATGGCAGCAGCAGTCAAGAAATTAAACCACGTATTGTGTTGGGCAAACTTGCTGCAAACGATCTCTTTAAACTGTTAAAAACTAGAGATGTCATTTTGAGGACTAAGGTGCTCCTGACCTCTAAGTCATGGTATTTTCAGTTGCCTGTGTGCATAGGGAAATTGGGCAATGAATAAGGAAAACCGAAGAAGAATTGCTACCTTTGAATTATGGTGTTGGTGATGAATATTAAATATATCATGGGCTGTCAGGAGAACAAACTAATTTGTGTGGAAGAAGTACAGCCAGAAGACTCCATAGAAGCTAGATGTTGAGGGACCATCAGTTCCTGAAGGTGGACATAATGATTGGCTAAGTAGAGGGTCAGCAAGAAAAACAAAACAAAACATCAAAAACTCTCAATGAGATAGGCTGACAGTGACTGTAACAAGGGACTCCAACATATGAGGATGGCATAGGACTGGGCAGTGTTTGGGTCTATGGTACGTAGGGTCGCTATGAGTTGGAGCCAACTTCACGGCACCTAACAACAACAACTGTGTTGAAAACATCTTCCAAGAATATGGCTTATCACAGTTCACTTCAGAAAGAATAAATTCTGTTTACACTTTACTATTAATCTTACAATTTACTATTAAGTCAAAATAAAACGATCCAGTTCCACTCCACTCCCTTTACAGCAGCGTACACACTTTCCAGTATTATCCTTTTTTTTTAAAGACAGTTCTTTTACCAATAAACATCCAACTGAAGTTGCTGTGGGTATCTTTAACAAACAGGAGGGTTTTCACATTTATGCTAAGCTGCCCCTTGGATGACATTTTTATCTATGTGTCTTTTTAAAGCAGTGCATGCCAAACAGGCAAAGGTTAACAGGACTCAGATAGCACAGCTTAATGGGGTCAAATCAAGCTGATTCATGATCACTATGGAGAAGAATATCCTCCTGGGGAAAATACTTGTACTGAAAAATCCCATAAACCAAACCACTTGTTTATCTGTCATTCCCACAGAGATAGTAATGTAATTACTCTCGTAATTATCTTCATTAGTGTCAGGCATTATCTGCAATTCATTCCTCTGCTCCAAGAGTGTGTTTGTTTATTTGCTAATTTTTTCTCCTCTCCTATTTGGCCGTGTTAAGGATTTTGTATTTGTAAAGCCGCATGCAGACATCTGTGCTATGCTGCTCTGACATTCTCTCCCCTAAAATATAGATTGCTGTCTTTCAGCTCCAGAGTCCCTACGCCCACTCCCTGACATCTGCCCTTCATTACTTGGTTCCCGTGCGACCACGACGACAGATTGTCTATCCTCTGGAAAAGCTTGGCATGAATGCTCCATCAAAGGAGGTCTCCAAGGATCTGGTGGGTAACGGGCGGCAGCAGGCAGGGAGGCGTGGTGCCAGCTCTCGCGGGCTTGGCAGATGGGGTGGCAGCACTGTCTTTGCAGAGCAGGCTGCTTCTTAATTACAGGGAGCCTGGCTCATGCCCTCACAAGCGGCACCCTGCGCAGGCTCCACGCAGCCCTCTCCTTCAAGTGGTTATTTCGCAGCAAGCCTGAAAACAGTTACCACATGACCCCACAGTAGCACTGTGGCTATGATCCCACGTGTGGTTGCTGTGGCCCCGGACAAACAGTCTGGAGTCAAGCCCGAGTGAGCCTATTTTTGTCTTCCCTCCCCTTCCTTAAAAGCAGATCCCCCTTTTGAACGGATGTCTTGCTTTCAAGGCAGTCAGTTGTTATTCATTCTTGAACAAAGCTGACAGGGAGAAGAGAACTGACTGCATTTGGGATGTTTAGGTCCTGAGTCCTAAACTGGGCTTGTTGAACTCCTCTGTGGGCAGCTGGGGGTGATTAACAGGAGCTCATTGGCTGCCCTGCGGTGGCAGGGATTTTTGACCTTAAAGGGAATGCCCTGACCACTTTTATTACCAGAACAGCAACAGAGCATAGCTCTCACATGTATATGGCCACACAATCCTTTTCAGTAACTTTCCTAGAGAACATAATTTTGTCAAGGTGACTTAGAAGTGATATTATAGTTTTACGCCGTCAAGTCGATTCCAACCCATAGTGACCCTGTATAGGGTTTCCAAGGAGCAGCTGGTGACTTTGAACCACTGACCTTGCAGTTCAAATGACTTTGCAGTCTGATGAATTAGCCCACACCAGGACTTAAAAAAGTTAAACAGAACCAAACAAAAAGTAGCTCCTCGGGGACCAACATCTTGTCTCTTGTGAGAAAAAGCCAGGAGTGGAAAGTCTACTGCCTTTTCTTAGCCTGGAGATGCTCATCAGAGAGCAGGAAGCCTTCCGAACAAACAACTCCTGACCCCTCTGCCTGCAGGAGGTACCACTTCCACAGCTCCTGCCAAGCCCCGTTTTACAGCGTGTCCAGGGGAAGTGGTTCCGGCCCTGACCCCACTTAGAGGTGGCCCTTACTTTCACCAATGCTACTTCATACACAAAAGCAGAGAGAGGCATGTAGAATAGGGCTTCTCAGTCTGACTGTGGTGAAGGGCCTTTTTTTTTTTTCAAATATATAATCCATCACAAACTGATAGCTTTGTAAAAAGTAAGTTACTGGGGGGGCGGGGGACAACGAGGTTAAAAAACAGACAAAATTTTAAGTCTAATTAGTTTATTATTGGATTTGACAGCTGTCAGTTTGCTGTTTAAAGCTTTTGAATATTTCTCTCCATCTCTGTACGTACATCTTCAGGGACTAGTAATGGTGGTGGTGGGTGGACACCTTTCACAGATCACACTTGAGTGCATTAAATACTACCCATCTGCACCCGTTTTCCCTTGTGCACGTTATTTTGAAGTAAACCTGAAATACACTTCTTTTCATTTGTAGATCACAGGGTCCACAGCAGTGTAACTAAGGTCTGTTCACGTGAGAGATGAGAACTACCTGAGCCCTCCTGGAGGGCCTGTGGGAAGGGACAACAGGTAGACTGAACAGAAATCCTGGAAAAGACCTCTTCCTTTGGAGTGAGAGTCAGGACTCACAAGTTTAGTGCAAAGAAAGGCACAGTCTTGGTATCAGAGGTGGGGCTATGTTCTCTCTCTGTCACTGAGCACAGTTTCCATGATGCATGCTGGTTCATGAAGGGGCTGTGGGTCAGTGTACATGCTGCACCCAGGCACTGTTCTACAGCTGCAGTAACAGACCAGGGTAAGGATGAGAGATGTTGTTCTTTTGTGGCCAATGTTGAGGCACCGTCAAGTATGACTGAGCTAGGAAAAGCCCTTACGAGTCAGCAGCTACATGTGGCTAGGGTGCATTTGGCTAGGGAGCTGAGTGGAGCAAGCACTGATTCTTTGAACATGCAGGAAACCTTCTCCCCTGGGAATTTTTAGAGTGGAAAGAAGGCCAGAGAAAATGTTTTATTTCATTAAAATGGTCCTGATCTTACTGCCTGTTGTTGTTGTTACGTGCCGTGGAGTCGGTTCCGACTCATAACGACCCTACACAGGGTTTCCAAGGCTGTAAATCTTTACGGGAGCAGACCGCCTCATCTTTCTCCCACGGAACTGCTGGTATTTTCGAACTGCTGAACTTGCGGCTCGCAGCCCGATTCGTAACCACTGTGCTACCAGAGCCTCTTCTGCCTGGGGTGATATAATTTGAAATCACGTCTCATGCTTAGTACCCTTTTCAATGGCCAGTTCTACCTGCCATGTACCACCAGAGAGCCCTGGAGTATACAAGCTGAGGCATAGGATGAATTGTTTAAAACAAGATTTGAGAAGATAGCCTCTTAGCCAACAGGTGGGGAAATAGTAAAGCTGGGGCACTTTCTTGTGTATTGCACTGTTTTATGTATTATTTTGTTGAATTCTGACTTTAAGGAAGTACTTTTACTGCTATTTACTGTACTCATTCTTGAAAATTTTAAAGGTTTTAGTAAAAATCTTGAGACCGGATTCCTACTATCTGGGCAGCGAGTGCTGGCTCCTTTTCCATCCATGGTTTGATAAGGTTAATAAGATCAGTTCCACATTAATACTGATACTTAAAAGTTTGGTCAAGGTTAAAATACTGAATTATTTTATTTATAATTATTTTCCTCTTTTAAGCATTTTAGATGGTATTTGTAGTTTAGGCTATCTGAGACCAGGTGACCCCAAAAGAATTTTTTAGGAAAAATTACTATATGTACTGTTTTCTTAGCAGAGTTGTGCTGAACAAGGAGGATGAATCATTGTTATTGCTAAGTGACCACCAAATTTCACATCTTTTTCCCCACCCCAGTGCATGGTGCTCTATGTAGGCCCCTTGGCTCCCTCACCATACCCCCACATTTCTCTTGCCAGCCACTCACCTGTCATACCTTTTATTCTATTAAAACCATCTCAAAGAAACCATCCATTGCCTTGCTTTCACCTAGGAAGCCAATCTTCAAGGGAACAGATCACTCCAGGCATGAGTAATGGGATAGAAAGTGTTTCATCTCGGTGGGTTGCCAATTTGAATCTGGCACAAGCCAGCAGTGATTGAAATTCATCACTGCATGGCAGGAAATATGCCCCCCATCCTAAGGTCCTGATAGTCTCTGCCTGACTTGAATGATACGTGTCCCTGCCACAATACCTTCCCTATCATTTGTACTAACTGACCGCCACGTCAGGTCATAAGAGAGGGCCTAGAAAAACGTTAATGCTTTCCATCATACATTAGAGATGTAAGCTTCAAAGGTTTATAATAATATCTTCACAATCAACCAGTATGATTTCATGGATAAGAGAGTTTTTTCCTGAACGAAGGCCATAATCCACATGGGATGGACCTGGATAATAATTGTCTTCCCAGCGTGAATGAGCTGTTTTGACCTGTGCATTTACATTCTGAGAATTACTCTGATTTTTTTTTTTTTAATTTAATTTAACAAATAGTCACAGCCTATCAGCATGAGTACTAGAAGCAGTACACTTGAAATTTGGTTGATTGATTGAATGGTCATTTTAATTAAAAGTGATGGAACAGGTTGACCCACACTTGCTTTGGGTTCAAATCTGTTTTCTTTCCTCTCTTCATTCCTGCAGGAGTTTAGAGATGATGATCACACCATCTCTGCCCTCAAAGAACTTCTGGTCTATTGTCAGTATTAATGTGGGACTGATCTCATTAACTTTATCAGACCATGGATGTAAAGAGGGCCAGCACTGGCTGCCCAGATAGTAGGAGTCTAGTATCAAGAGAAAACTTATTCATGGTGTCATTAGATCCATATTTTGTGGAATTTGGGAGACCGAGTATTTGTGCCCAAGCCACCATTCTCATTCCAACACTCGGATTTAAAATAATTATTATTTATCATACTTGTTGTAAATTGCTATTGAGTTGATTTCATTTGTCTTACTAAGCTTCAGGAAATCTGTTTTAAATTTTAAAAAGTTCCTTCCCCTCACATCAGTATTAATAGAGTTCCACAATATAACTATTTCAGTCACTTTAATTCATCTTGGTTTATAGTGGTTATAGGATTTACTATGAACTCATTTCTCTCTCTTTGCATTAAAATTTTTTCAGGGTCCAAATCAAACCATCATCCTCTCTGATAAATTATACTTTCAGGGTGATCAAAGCCTGTTGTTGTTTTCTTGTGGTTGTTTATTAGTGATGGTCTATTTGAATCTTGCCTAATGAATTCTTTGGAGACCTCCATTTGGATTCTGTGCATTTGGTTTCTTCACATTTCCCCTTTGTTCTCATACAAAGAAAAATGGCGGTTTATTTACCCCCACCCCCTTCTTAGAGCTAAGTGCTACCCCGCTTTTTCTTGGTATGTGCTCTCTCAGGAAGATGTCACTCACTGGCATTCAGTTACCCTCTGAATTGCCCCTTTTCATCTCGGCTGTTCTTCCCCAGTCCAGCTATAATTACCATCTGATGGACTGTTACTGGATACTGTTTCACTTGTACATCTGCCATCCTAGGAAATTGTATTATTCTCCCAGCACCTGCTAGATTTTCCCCAGCTTAATTGTTTCTCAGCCCCTTCCTTAACTTCATAACTTTCATTGTGCATCATTGAGACTTCCTTTGGTTGTGTAGGATAGAATCAGTTCTTTAACATCTAAGCAGAGAGTTCTAAAAAGGCAAGCCCATATTTGTAAGCATTATATGTACACTGATGATTATTAATGTGACCATGGCAGTATATTATTGAATTGAAATTAACCCACTTTGAGTCATGACTGCAAATCAAGTTTGCTCTTTGAAACCCCTTCTTAGCCATTCCCTATGCATTTACGCTACCTGTAGGGAAATCCATTTTGTTTCATTTATTGTGAATACTCTCTGAAATTCCTAGACACTTTATATAAATTCCTTCATAGGAGGTTTTCTGTTTGT